CGTCTCTAGTAAGTAATTTTTCAAATTTTTGAGCCCAGTCACCTTTGAAATAAATAGCGTTTACAATCATAAGACGCAGAGCCGAGTTAATAGCGTCTCTTGGCACCAAATTCTTTATTTTTGAATGTGTTTGTTCCTCTACCCACTTGTTGATTCTCTACAAAATAAAGTTTTTATAATCTCAACGACACTGTATAGTTTCAAAATTGATCCGGTAGAATGCCGACAGAAGTAAGGTTCATCAAAATAGCAATAATTAGCCTATAAGTATCTCGTAATTAGATCCAATCTTTCATGCGTGGTTCCGGATGAAATCTTACTGCTGCTGTTTTTTCCGAATTAGAGAAGTCAGCTGGTTCCAACTGTCCGAAATATTTGGTACCAACAGTCTTCAAGTAATCTTCTTCTATTTTGAAAGCTCTGTCATGGAACAGACGATTTGCAGTGGACAATGTGTAGGTTTCTGATCCGTTAGCAATATCCTTAACGTTCTGTGAAACATAACTGTGAAACTCGTCTTCACTACACCCTTTAAAGATTTGTTACAGCCCTACAGCTATTTGACGGCGCTCAAAAATGCGTAGAATTCTGCTTAAGAAAAGAATAATGAAAGCATAATAAAAACACCAGATAAACAAATTTACGAACAGTCAAGAAACTAATGTTCCTAAGAGTATTTCAATGAGAAGGAAAACAGACTATTATCAAAAACAGTACCTTTTGCAAATAAGTCATGAATCTCCTTTTTGGTATTTCCGTCAGCTCCAAGGCACGCAACAGCAAATGCAGAAGTGATCGAAAATGGTGACAGAACCATTGTCTCGCTAAATCCTGCGGCTTCTCTCAAGAGGCCTAATGTATAGTCGGCTTGAGCAACTTCCATACCGCTGACAAGTTTTGGACTATAAGTAAAATATTTCAAGCAGTTTTCCTTTAAAATAGTCAAAAACACAAAGAAGGGGAACAATATTTCAAACGTCTTTTTTCTTAAATTTAACATGATCAGTGGATCAGGTTTTCCAATATACTTAGTTATTCTAAGTAAAAAACCTAGAAAAGCATAAGATTTATTCTTCAGTTTTATTTGCTTCCAATTATGGAAAATTTCTCACAGTGATGCCCTAAAATTGTACGAATGTTCCAACTAGATAAAGGACATATTTGCTTCTGCAGTATTTGAGCAGAGATGACTGTTCTATAACATTTTCAAAAGTTTATGACGGTGTATACAGCCAAAATTGTTCTTTTAATTGCAGCAGCCGTTCCCAAAGCATTTAAGCCAGCTTATAATTTAAGCTGCCTTTTAACGGTTTAAGTATTAGGACAAACGAGTAAAAAATGAAAGTAACAAAAAAAGTTAATACGGTAATAATGAGGAAGGAAAAGCCATTTTTAGACTAGATTGTTACAACCAGTGTTTGTTAGAGCCTCGAAAAGTTAAATTTTTTGCTGAGATTTACACGCTCAAAATAAGCTGTCAGTAGTGGTAGAAAAATCCAGGTGAAGCCTGTTTGAAGTAAATTTTCTGTTCTTTCCACAGTGCGGCATTACCTTCACATTCCGTTGCCTTTAGAACAAAAACTTCAAGATCCGTCCTTTCCTCCTCCGTATTCTCTAAACGAAGCTTCTTCAACACCGCAAAAATATCGTTACGTTGAACTGAAAGTTAGACATAGTTGTCTTCTTTCAGCGAGCAAATGTCCACTGTGTTACTGAAGTTTTCAAGCATCTACGATGAATTATGTAACTGCAAATAAACAGTGGTATCTAGGTGATTTAACTAAAGCCCAACAACCTAAACGCGAAGTAACTTTAGTGCAATTCTCTGTTATCCTTTCCCTTGACTTCCACTGCTTCAAGCTTTTGAGTCGTCATTAGAATTGATGAGCTTACCCTGCACAGCGAGAAGTTAATTTATTACTTCTTTTTCACCGAATAGCCGCTTACTTACAATTAATGTACACACACTAAAAAACAAACCCTTTCCGACCCACTGTCTTTTTTTTTTGTACAAGCAGTTCTTAAACTTGCTTTTCCCCCAGTTTTTCAGACTAGGCTATCAGCCTCCATGTCACTAGAAGAAACAGGTTTTAAACAGTAATTTTAACCCAAATAAAGTTGCTCAAGACCGTAATTCCAAGAAACTGAGGTATTATGAATGACATTCTCCTCTTGTGGCCGTGCTGTTTTTGGTACAGCTAACTTTGAAGCGCATCTTTTGCTCTCCTGCTACAAACCCACACCACAGCTAACCTCACAACTAACCCTCCAAAGTGTGCAATAAAACTATAAAAAACCATTAGATGGCAATTAAAAAAGTGGTTTACAGTCGTAAATAGAAGCGATGAAGATCCCAATGTGTCCCATTCCACAAGATGTAAATTCTTTGGTTGTTTAGAACACCAGATCAATAACTTTCACGTACACAACTGAAATGGTGTGTTTTTGAAGGCACTTTTGCGCTGACCACAAATTAGTGACGAAAAAATTAAATGTTCATCGGAAAACCCACGTGGAGATGGTTTCGAAGCTTGCAGACTGCTAGCGTTGGGAGTGGAAAGCGGAATGGATGCGTAGTTCAGAAGTCACAATCCTACGAAGTCATGAGGAAATTAAAACCGAAGTTAAGCAGTAAACTCTAAAAAGTTTGAAAGGGGTGAAAAGACAAACCTAGACCAGTAAAAAGTAAAGCAGAATCATAAACTCAACATACGCACACAAGAAACGGATTTAAGCTACCGGCAGATAAAAGCCGAATTGACTTTAATAAAATAAGCCATATTCGGGCTCAAGACTGCCTTGAAATAAGAAGATTATCAGACAAAACATCTTTTTTAGTTCTTCATAAAGTCGCATTAGAGAAGTCAAAAAAGTAGAAGCTAGTAAGGTGAAAAACTACACGAGCAAAAATACCCGTTATTAAGCCGTGCAAAGCGATTAAAAAGCAAAACGACTATATTACGATAACCAGTCAAAATAAAAAAGATGCCTAAAAATGAAAAAAAAACTGATATTTCAAAAATAAGCGGTAATTCTGGGAAAACCAACAGAAAAGAAAGAAAATCAATAGGTCAAATGCAAGACAAACTGGTTCAGGTATGTTAACTTTACAAGATGAACAGAACAGATAAGTGCAATAAAAAACTGCAGTTTATAGTTTACAGCACCAGCGTCACGAAACTGGCACTTCTCTCTATTAGTTATCAGTGTTAGGAGAAAGGTAAATAAAGATGAATTTTTTAGTGGAAAGGTTTTGTTTAAACATCGTTTTTTATTCGTTTTCTTTTGTCTATAAAGCTTTGAATATATTCGTCGCCTTTAAGTTTGCCGGGCTAGATCCGTTGTCTTTCGTAGAGTTTCTTTCCCCTTAAAATTAACTTTCAAATAGTTTAAAAGCAAAATACTCATATTAAGATCGCAGTAACGAACGGGCACTACATGTTGCTGTTAATGCAATGAAAATTAATCTCGATGGAGTATTCAGAAGAAAAATCTTGAGATTTGTCGACCTGTATCACTGTTCCACAAATTTTTTGGCTTCTGGCTCTATCCGACCTTCCTGCCCAATTCTACGCCAAATTTAAACTTTATTAAGCTACAAACGAACAAAAATTATTTTACAATTTGTTTTTGCTGAGAAAATGTCTGCTGAAAATTAGATATATTTAGAAATTTTGCCAAAACCTCATCAAAGCAATTCCGCAATTCACTAGGATTTTCTGGATCATCTTAAGCCTCAATCCGTTTATACATCACTCTAAGCTTTCGAAGTGACCCTGTTCACTTTGATATCACTCAATAATATGTTTATTGCTAACCACAGTCACTAATCAACCTTTTATCCGCTTTTCCAAATGCCATTGCTGACGTTGAAAAAAAAGATTGAAAAATAGGGTAAACAATACAAATCTTCTAGGCACCGGGAATCGGCGTCGGAAGAAACTGGAGCTTTCGGTAGAGGAAAGTGAAATAATGAAAAAAATACTCGACAATAACCAATAAGACGCCATTTCTACTTGTAGACTGTACAGTTAGAGCTATATTAAATCAAATGTTAAGAACCGTGTACTGACAGTCCGTCTGTAGCAACGGCAGCGTTTATCTGCTAAACTGAGCATTTGGAAATGTTTTAAGTATCATATATCTCTTCTAGTAGCATTTGACCAATTGGCTTTTTTCAAGTGATATAGAATAAAATCTTCTTAATAAAATAATACATATTTATCAGCATGAAACCAACGTTTTCGTAACCTTCTAAATATTTAAGTTGACTATTGTAATTCTGCCGTAATTCTTGGGAAAATTGTCAGCGTTAGCTAACTACCGTTACTCACTTTTTGATATCTCTTCAAAAGCGTGAAATAACGTGTCTAACTAACGGTTAAAAAGTTTTAATTTGTGAGTAAATAAGATGAGTGGATTGTTTTTCAACTTAGAAAGGTTATCGCTTCGTCTGCACTAATTTATGGCATCGTCTTAATGTAAAAGTCCATCAAAAATGGTTTACAACGGATATAATAAATTTGGGTAAATAACTATGATTTCAAAGATTACTACATTGGATAGATGATTAACATCAGGTTTAGCAGTCGTCTGAAAGTCGTACCGACCACTGTTTGAAAATGATTGCTGAACAGCGATGCAAAATTAAATAAAAAACTTGGTGCATTTGCCGAATTGACAAGAGATGATTGCACTGTGCAGAAATATCAAGTAACGCGTAACCGTCGCAGAACTAAAATACATTTGACTCGCAAGAGTTTACGTGCTTACTCCTCTCAAATCATCAAGACATGACAATGACTGCCTTTTTGTAGAGTGGTTACAACCTTCTTACGTGGTCACACCCTCCTGCAGAGCATAAAAGATTCATTTATTTAATTTTCTGATTTTCTGATTTCTGAATCACAGGAGTCGCCGGAATAAAAAAGAAGAGCAGTGGAATAATACGCAAACCACTTTTCTGTCATTTTTGCTAAATTTGGAAGTAACTCAACACTGCAGTTCTAAAAGTGGTGAAGATTTGAGACCTAGCTAGATCTTTGCTGGTAGATTGAATGTGTACAGGTTTCCTTTGAATAGTCCTTCTAGAGCAAATTCTGTTTTGCTTACTTGGTGATGTAAAAATGTTCCAAAGAATTCTAAAGCTGAAAATCGTCTAAGCCTATTAACTTTTTGGCAGCTTTTTCATTACAAGTTAATGGTGGGAGGGAAAACTGGTATAGGTTTGGTGTAACTCAGTTCACCGTTTCCACCCTCAAAAATGCTTTTTTTTAACTGTTACCCTACCCTTACTTTTTGTATTTGGGGTTCTTAATTCCTTCTGACTCATTTTTCACGGTTCCCATTGACTTTTCACTAACTTTCTGAACGACTAGTGCCAGAGTATAATTCAAATTCTAATGTTTTTTTGTAGCTGCTGAGTGTCGATGACGCAACGCGTTTGCAACCCTAAGCTTAGGAACCTGTGACGTTCAGGTCGACTTTTGTGCAACCTCTCTACTCATAGATTTTACACTTTTTGAGCAGTTGCGGCGTGCCTGCGAGTATTCATTTAATTAGAACTTTTTAGCCGTATACATAAAACTTTATAGTTTGCAATATAAGGTGATCAGAACCGACAAAAAGTAATTGTTCCAAAAAAAAAAAAAGAAATTAACAGTGTTCTGCGAATTTGGTAAAGACACTGATCGGCCTATAACGAAAGAAACAAGAAATTTAGGTGAAGTCATACTACAAAATTTATAACTTGAAACAGTGCACAAAAACAGCAATGTAATGTACCCTAAGATGAGTCACCAACGTCAGTTGACATCAACAATAAGAATTCAAATCATCTGATAAGATAAATGTTGTTGCAGTTTGAAAACATAAAACACTAACAGCAAAAAGAAAAAAGACTAACTTTCATTAAGAAAACAAACACGTGGCAGCGTTCCGTAGAAATAAAGGAAAACTGTATCTATAGTAGGAAAAAAAGAAAAAGTTGATGAAGCTAGAATAGAAAAATTTTAGTTTTTTGTAGCGAAATTTCAAAGAGCTAGACAAAGTAGAAGTGAAAAGGTCTAACAAAAGTTGCTTTGAAAGGGTTAATCAAGAGAACTTAAAAGTAATGTGGAGAGAGCTAAAGTTATTAGTAACAAATACCTATAAGAGAAAAGGCAATGTGAGAGTTTATTATACCCTCAAAACTGTGCAACATTTACAATAAGAAAAGATTACATTTCTGTGAACTGTTCTGCATTATGAGTTTTATAGAAAAAAAAGTCTAGAACATGTTCTAAAAGTAAAATTAGTTATTTAGAAAGTTAATTGATGTAGAGCCATTGAAAATTTTAGAAAACTTTTGGACATGATCAGACATGTGCAAAAGTTTTAAACTAAATCTGCTGAAACCAGAACTTTCAAAAAACGAACTGAGAATTTGGAACCTGTTTTCCGATCAAAAGCACTCTTGCGTTTAAACTCTTTTAGAGTTTTTCAATCAAGCATTTTTTTTTAATTTATCAGCAGTTCAGCCAAAATTTTTTGTACAGCTATATTGGTCGAGAAGAATAGAGTTTTTATTTAGATATCTGCAGAAGAGTCGAAAATGTGAAACTCTATTAAACAGTATAAATAACAAGGCAATTCTGAAAAAGAGCGCACCTGGAAGTGCAATTTCATCAAGTGGTTAACTGATATGACAAGTTATTTATTTATAAAAACACAAAAAACTTCTTGTGCCTTTTGTTAAATAACGATCACTTAATGTTGGTTGTATGAGCAAACAGCTAAACAAATCAGATTTGATTTATAAAAACATGTTTATGTGAAAAATTATTTTTTAGATTTGTCAAGTTAGTTAGGTGTTAGAAAAAATTGATTTTTGGTACACTAAAAAATGTATATTATGCAGTCTTTTAAGAGCACAAAAAACTACTTATCTTTTATCCTTATTTTTTGTAGAAAAAAAAAGATTAATGTTGTTCATTTTAGTTGAGTAAAAGATTATTAGTGTATACAAACTTTTTTGTAGACATAATTAGCAAAGAAAGATAGATAAGTCAAAGATGACTATTTACCTAGTAAATTCTCTTATTTTAAAGGTCACGCAGAATAAAAGTAGTCTTTAATCAGAAAAATGCTGCACAAAAAGAACTTTATGCAAAATTATTTATAATAGTTAGTAGTATGTGTTTTTTGATGACTATTAGTCTGAACGTTTATCCAGATATATTAAAAGAAATAATTTTCCTTTTTTTTAGTAATGTTTGCCAGCAAACAAAATTGTACTATTTTTTGCAATAAAGAATGCAAATGGATGATCAGCAATGAACTTTGGTGGTTCTGTTCTTATCGGAGCACTTCCTGCGACTACATTGATCGTTGCTGCTGCTGCTTCTGTTCCTTCTTCGTCGACCTAAATTTATCAAATATAAAAATTTGCTGTTAACAATTAATAGACCAATAAAACTTTCTTTTTATACAAAACTAAGTTGAATTATTAGTAATAACTATAATAAACTTTTCATAATAAAACACTTCAATAAAAAATCTATATTGATTAGGAAACAATTTCGAAACAAAAAGAAACGCTATGAGTAAAATAAGAACTAAGAGAAGTCAAAAAATTAAGTTACAAAAATATAAAATAACCTGAATAAAAGTTTTATGAATCATTTTTGATATAAAAATGCCTTCAGTAGTCATTTTGCTAAAATTTGCATTTGAGGAAAACGCTTCGACCATACCCATTTTAGTTAAAACATTATTTAGTTCATACTCTTTTTCCAAACGGAATTTTGGAATCTCTACCTGAAAAAAAAACTTCTTAGCAACAAAGCTTTTAATAGCATCAAGATACCGCGAGAAAGAAGACAGTTGTAATCCACAAAAAAAGTGTGAAAGCAGCTATACATTTAATGCTTAAGCAGCAAATTCACGTTTAACTTTAGCTCTTAAATGCGTTTGAATATATCGTTGCTTTTCAGTAACTTATAAAAAAAGCAAAAGCTTTGTGCACACATCTAGATAAAAGAAAAGTATCAAAATGTTGCAAAAGTGCTATTTTGTTCTAAAGATTCTAAATTTTGAATTTTGTCAAAGTACCTGCACCCTCGTCCAACTGACTTCATTCACGTATTTAAACAACTTTTTACCATCAGTATTTGTCAGCAATTTATGAAGTCCAAATTTTTCAGCAGGTAACAAAATGAGCATTTTTATTTTACCGCCTACATAGGGGATTCCAAGAACTTGAACATCTTCGTCTTTGTAATAGTAAAAATCGCTCACTGCTTGCATCATATCAACCTGTAAGTAACAAAATGAAAAGACAAAACTAATTTATTGGTTGTGCAGTAATAGCTTCAGTTTTCTAATAGAAACCTCTCGGTGCTCTCCTTCTGCAACATAAAATGGCTTCTTTTCAGTGGACTCTTTCTGAAAAGGCGATTCCCAATTTGCTTTGAAATACACTGCGTTAAGCACCAATAAACGCGAATCAGGTCCGATAATGTCAGGTTGTGCTATGTTTTTAATCTTTGAATTTGTTTCTTTTTCCACCCAACTGTTGATTCTCTGCAATGTAAATTTTCTACTTTCAAATCCACTGATATCAGACAATGTCAGAAATAAAATGAAAGCTCAGCACCATTTCAGTCTCTTTTTAGAAGCAGAGTTTTTAATTTTTAATCAAACATCGATTTTGAAAAATTCTTGTTTGTAAAAACAGTTATATTCTCACAAAACTACAATTTTAAGCGAAAGATTATACAGCTGCTGTAGCTGTCGGTTGTGAAGAATCAAAAGATTCCAACTGCCCAAAATATTTCGTTTGAACAGCGTTGACATAGTCTTCCTTCATTGTAAACTCTTTTTTGTAAAACAAGCGATTTGCAATAGTCAGTGTGTATCTGTCACTTTCTTTGCCAATTTCTTCGACATTTTGAGAAATGTAATTGTGGAATTCATCGTCACTAGAGCCTAAACTATTGTATCTTCAACAAAAATTTTTGAAAATCTGGTTGTTTTCCCGGTGTTTTACAGAGTCTACAAGAAAATCTTTTAAGAGTGCTGGTTCTGGTGCCAAAGCAGAAAAAATTAACAGATCACTATTTTTTATGTTTCTATCTAACATATTTGTTTAAAAGCTATAACAAATTAGTAAAACTTAGCTAACTTTTTGCAAGTAAATCATGCATCTCTATTTTTGTGTTTCCGTCTGCTCCGAGATACACAAGGGCCAGGGCTGTAGTAATTGAAAATGATGACAGTATCATTGATACATTTGGTGCTGCGGCATCTCTCAGCAAACCCAAAGTGTAGTCCATTTGGTCCACTGCCATCCCGGCAGCCATTTTCCAGCTAAAAGTCAAACATTTCAGATTCAGCTTAATGTATCAAGACATCACTCTGAATTATACAGTTTTACGATTATACAGTTTGTACAATTACAGCATGAATAAATATTTGGTCCACTGCCATCCCGGCAGCCATTTTCCAGCTAAAAGTCAAACATTTCAGATTCAGCTTAATGTATCAAGACATCACTCTGAATTATACAGTTTTACGATCATACAGTTTGTACAATTACAGCATGAATAAATAAACAATCATCTGAAGTATTATGAAGCGGTATTGTATGAATATAAAATCGTTGTATAAAAAAGTTGAAAAAAAAATTAACAGTAACATTTTTAAGGATAGTAACATGGAATAACGATCATAAACGGTACAAGCAAAACAGATACTTTTTTTTTTTTAATTATTACAATTTATGCTGTTGTCAGCTGTTAAAAAAAGTGAAATACAATGTGGAAAAATTTTTTTGAAGTTGTCTCGTCAAATTATTTGAGAACAGAGAGTTTTGTTTTGAAAAAGCTGAACAGCAAAGAAATAGAAAATTTGCGCATTGCCTGGAAATGCTGCTGTTAAGGCCTACACTAATTAAAACAGTTGTGATACCGCATCAAAACTGCACCCTTCACTTCCTGTTTTTTTTTTTTTCTTGAAGCGGCAAATTAGTAATGTTTAGCAATTTGGAATAATGAGTTCCGAAATAAATTGTTTCTATTCGCTGATCTCATTTTTTTTTTAACAGAAAACACTGATAGATCAAATTGCCATTCTCACTCAATGCATGCAAGTTGGCAGGTTTGTTTTTTTTAACGTAAGGTTTTGCAGTTTTGCTCTTTTATTCTTTTTCCATGTTTTTTTCTTCTTTTTTTTTTCTTGTTTATTTTTCTTTACTTTTTTCTAACAAAAAAAAAAAAAACTAAAAATAGAAAAAATTTCACATTATTTTACGATTACAATAGAGAAAAAAAAAGAATACTTTGCGTTAGTGTGACACTAGAATATCAAATTCACATTACTTTTTAGTCTCTTGTCGTCAATTTCTATTTGTAATATTTTACACTGTTCTTAATGCTTATAAGTTCATTTATGTTCTACAAATTTAGTGGTTAATTTGAAAAAAAAGTTTATAAAAAATTCAATTTTTTTCATATTGAAAGCCACAAAATAATCATTTTTGAATTGAAAAATTTTCTTCAATTTTTACAAACAGTTTTTGTTCTTGTCAAGAAAGTCAGACGATATGTATGTTCATAAGTTTAGTTCTTTATCAGAAAGTGGCATAAGTCATTTTGTTGTGCCACATCATTTACTAGCCAAAAATGATATTCATACCTCCTTTATTACTATAAACATTTGATGAAGTTTTAGACAGTGCGAAGTGAAGATGGCGTTGAAATGCTGAAATATTTAAAAACTTTCAGGTTTTTGCTCAAACTATTCTTTGCTGAATAGTTACTTTATTTAAGTGCTGTCAAATTTTTTTTAAAAATTGCAGGGTAGGTGAAAAGCGAATCAGAAGCGAAATAAAAGCGAATAAAGACGTTTTTCTACTTTAGAACAAAAGATAATAACTTTCCTGTTACGATCAATGCAACATTACATAAGGAAAGAGTTATCAAATTTTTTTCAGAAATTTTACTTTTAATTGAAAATATGCAACTTTATAGTCAGAGAAGAAAGAGGGGAACGAAGAAAAGAGAAAGAAATGACAATGACGGCAAAATGAAGAAAATTGCTGTTGCAAAATATAGCATATTTTTTCGATAAAACCTCTTCTAAGCTAATGTCACAGTCAGATATTACAATCGTAACTTAGCCAAAAAATCTTTTTACGGAATTCGCTTCGATTCTATACTACAATTATTTTTTGAAAAAAAAAAAAAAAACAATAATTTTTTAATAAACGACACTTCTATATTAATTTACTGTATAAAGCTAAAATTTTTTTCTTTTCTAAAAAACTAAAAAGAAAGAAGAGATTTAATAAGTGTTTTTGAAAAAAAAGCACTTGTGATTTCAAAGTAAACGATAAAAAAGTTTGTATTGTTTTAGAAACGTTAATTTTAATCTTGTCTGTTTTTTCACTGTTCTATATACATTTTTAAAAACTAACAGTAGTAGCATTTTATCTTAGTAATCGCTAATTTCTTATGTAAACTGGATAGCTATTTCTATAGCAAACACGTGCACATATAAAAAAAATTTAAATTTTGGTTAAAATAAAACAAAAGCGATCAGTCTGAGGTATGCAGCAAAAAACAGCAACTGCCTAATTACAATTTCTCAAAATTAAATTTCATGCAACTTATTGCTAAACTGTTTTAAATTTTTTCTTTTAAAACTTGTTATATTCCAATAAAAAAGAAAGAAATAAAGCGAACTGGAAATTAACTGAAAAATAATTGCTAAATGCAAACTTTTTAACTGCAATACCAATAGTTTTTTGATTTAAGATTAAGCAAGTTTTCCCAACAGTGTTAGAAAAACCTGTCGTGTGCAAAAATTCAAAGTTAATTATTTAAACGCTTTTTAATAATTATATTTAAAAGTTATCAAGAAAAAGTACAAATTGAAATTTATCAAGAAATAAAAAGATAAAATATTGAAATAGTTATTACTCTCTAATTTCTCAACAGAAGTTAAGTTGTATTGTCAGTTTTTCGCGCAATGCTGTCTTTTGCAGTTCATCAATAAACTGATAAAATAAAATAAGTATACAAACAGTTAATTCTTTATAGTATATTCATTACATGACTTACTTACAACATCAAAATTCATCTGTAAATTCAAGTCTATCGGTTCTCAAGAAGTGTACACAGTAAAAACCTTGAGATTCTTATAAAGGTTTATTGAAGAAATGTCATCTGATTTTTCTGCTTTTTTGAAAACGCTCAAAAAAATTTAAGTCTCAAACAAAATTCGAGCACACGGTTTGTATGAAACTTAAATACCATTGTGAAACAGAGCAAGCAAAGTCTTTGCTTAAATACCATTTCAACTCTATTTCTTGCCTCGTGTCTCGGCTTTATCGCTTTTACGATAGCCTTTCTCGCTTCTCAGATATTTGGTAAGCTTTTAAACACTGTGTAACAGTTTCTACTAGTAAATTATTGTTCTGAAGAAAACACAATTTCTCATAAATTCTGGGCCTTCTTTTTCTCCGTCTTCAGGATCAAAAACTCCCAACAATTTTATGCCTGGAAACGTTGTCTGTAAGCGACATTTATAAATAGCTCTACCAAATTTCTCACATTAACAATGCCGTTGAAGATTAACACCGTTTTACCTCCTTTATACAGATTGCTGTAAATCTCTTTTTAGTATTAGTGAAATTATGAGTTTCAAGTTGGTCGGTATCTCAAATAACTGAAGCTGCACAACTTTGACTCACTATCAAGTGCTACTGCCTAAAAATGCAAATATCTTGAGCTTATACTGAATGTTTTTCAAAAATCAGCAAAAATAATATTGTAGTATAATTATATATTACATTTGTTGAACGTCTAAGATGACAAATTTGTATTTTTTTTATTTGATATATTACTGATACTTCCCAGCAAACAAAATGTTCCCATTTTTCGCAATTATGAACGCAAATGGATGATCAGCAATAAACTTTGGTGGACTTTGAACTGGTCTAATAAAACTCGACCTTGTCATTCCGATTGCTGTTGCAGCTGCGGCTTCTGTACCCTCTTCATTAACCTAAAGTTGAAAGTTTTAATTTAGCTAAATAAATTAAAAAAGAACCTCGTATCTATGTAGGAGGTTTCTGAAAGTACAGTGATCACAGTCATGTAAAATAAACCTTATTATCATATCATTAGGATGATAAACAAAGATAGCAGATAAATAGACCGAATATAAAAAGAGGTAGATATGTGAATAAAGAGTTTAACTGAGTTTCTTATTTCAAATATGAAACCAGTTACAAAAAACAAGCACTTTTGTAAAGTAATGTGATAATAAAAATCAAAAACCGATTGAAAAAGTGAGAAAAGATTCTAAAAATTGCAGAAAAAGAACTTTTGCTACACGCTTTAAAAATCCAAATTACAATTTCAAAGTTACTCATTAAAAATTCTCTAAGCCGCACACCTTCTCTACATTTCTGATCAGTAATAGACAAACCAGAAAAAATCGTCTTCTGCTTTTGTCGAAAACAAATTTAAATTCTACGAAATATGTTAATAGAAAACTTACATTAGAAAAACAAAACCAAATAAGTTTCAGACTGCAAAAAAACCACCTTATAAAGACTTGAAGGAAATGTCATGTTAAAAAAACGGAAAAGTGCAAGGCTATAAGATAAACTCAATTCCGTCCGAAAATTTTTTGATTATACGAAAAAAACGCAAATTTTTCGGTTTTAAAAAAAAAAAACAAGATTTTTTTTATGAATATGAGTTAACATAGCTAAAACTGACCTCAATGAATGCTTTGTGAATTACGTAGGATATAAATAGAGGCTCACTGCTCATCTTACTGAAGTTCGCGTTCGATGAAAACGCTTCTGGCATACCCATTTTTGACAAAACCTGATTCAGCTCATACTCCTTCTCGATACGAAATTTGGGTATTTGCACCTAAAAAGAACAAGTCTCAATGATAGGCAAACAGTTTACTTCAGAAAATTTTTTATAGAATCCTTAAAAAAGAGATGCAAAGATGTTGTTGAGAAATTTTCAAAATCAGTAGTGCTGTACGATAAATACAAATGACAGCAACGTTTAACGCATTTGATAAAATTTTAATTCATTACTTGAACTTTGGTCTCTACAGCTTCCATCGTGTAATCCATCAACATTTTTCCGTTAATTTTTTCAAAGAGTTTTGCGAGGCCAAACTTTTCAACAGGCAACAAAATGAACATTGTCACTTCATTGCCTTTGTAGGGAATCCCAAGTACTTGAACATCACTGTCTTCATAGTAATCAAAATGATCTAACTTTTGCATCATATCTACCTATAATTAGAAAAAAGTAATCACTTTTCTTGCTAGCCAGGCTGGTGTAACCAAGATTTATTTCAAGAAATCTCTTAATGAGTAGCAACCTCTTGTTTCTGCTGCTCGGCGTTGTAAAATGGCTTTTTCACTGTAAGTGCTTTTTGAAATTTTGATGCCCAGTCTCCTTTGAAGTAAACTGCGTTAATAACCATCAAACGTAATGCACTGTTAATGATACCGGGTTTCACCAAATTCTTTATCTTTGATTTTGTTTGTTTTTCTACCCAATTATTGATCTTCTAGAACGTAATGCAATTATAGCTGGACGCGAAAATAAGAAACAGCAAAGAAAAAAAAAAAACGAATGAAAAAAGTATTATCAGAAAATGGTAGCATCTTAAATAGCCGTATAGCAGTTTCTCACTCAAAATTTTCTTCCAAAAAATATTTCTTGGGAAAACATATCTGTTTGAACCAAAACAGTTATATAAAGTGGAAAATTTTACCGCTGTTGCCCGTGTCGATTCTGAGAAGTCAATAGATTCAAGTTGCCCAGAATACATCGTTTGAACAGCATTAACATAATCTTCTCTCAGCTTCAAATTCTGATTGTAAAACAAACGATTCGCAGTGGTTAACGTGTATTCATCACTCCCTTTTGCAATCCCTTTGATATTTTGTGAAACATAACGGTGAAAATCGTCGTCGCTAGAGCCTAAACTGCATTAGCAAGTCGAAAATATTCATTTTCTGGTATGTACAGAGGTTTGTTAGCAGCAAACTTAAATGTTATAGAACACGGCTATTACGCTTGTAGACTAAAGTACTTGGGGATGAGTTAACGATAGTTTTATCGAAATGATCAGAAATATTTTGCGTTTCAATCGTTGACTTTTTGGCAAAGACTTGAGTTGACTGGGAAGCTTTACCAAAAAAAATCACCTTTGGCGAGCACTTTGCGAATCTCTTCCTTCGTATTACCGCCTGCTCCCAGATACACGACAGCTAAAGCTGAGGTGATGGAAAACGCTGAGAGAACCATTGTTACGTTCGGCACTGCAGCCTCTCTCAAAAGGCCCAGTGTGTAGTCCGCTTGAGCAATTTGGATATCCGTGGTCATATTAAAGCTGAAACAGACTGTTCATAATGTTTTTGAAACATATTGTTGTTTGATTATCAGATGCAGAACTATAAGCACTTTATAATGTTCTTTTACTAAATGTCACACGCTGGAATGTTTGTAGTTGCAGCGTTTACTTTAATTTGCCGGAAAGGGAGGAAGTACGAATGGTTCAAACTACCGTTGCTATTTTTAAACAGCACAGAATTGTTTATGATTTGTCAAGTAACGAAGTACACTGCTTTAGGAACGAACGGCTTCTCAGAAGATCTTGTAACTGGGTTCAGAATTTTCCGTAACTTTTATTTTCTATTCACCTGGCACTTCAATCACGGGGAACTACTGAAGAATCTGCTTCAGCCAATTGTGCTATACATTCTGAAGCCTTCAACTCTATTCTTCGACTTGTTCCTCATTAGCTCATTTAACAGATTAATAGGACTAAGGTTAAATTGATTGAAAGAAAAAGATAAAGAACGCGCTTGCTTCACGAAATAATATTTTTTCACTTCTCCGAAATTTTTCAATGCATTTTGAAAAATTGTTGGCTGTAGCTTTCCTCTTATCCGACTGCTTAAGTTCAAAAATCAAAAAAAAAAAATGATTTTAAAGGCTCTAGCTTGTTCTGCAGAAAAACATTTTTCTAGTTGACTAAAGAGATTTTCAAAAGCATGTCTCATACAGGGCAGCCAAAAAAATGTCTACACTTACGATATCATTTCGGTTTTAAAAAGTCAGAGCTGCGTTCAGCAAAGGATATTTACAATACAAAAAATTAATAAAGTTAGCATCTATGGATCATCTATTCCT